GTTAGCCCTTCGTCATTCGCTCCGACGAAGGGCTAACGCTCGAAACGTCAGCTTTTGTAATCATTACGGAGGCCAATTTTCCATTTCAACTTTGTTGATATATCCAAATTATTTCGTTACTCCCACCGACGCAGCCCCAAACAGTTTCTTTCGAAACTATCAGCCTTTATTGTGAAAATAGCCAATGTTCATTGCGGCAATGCTTACTATTGAATCAAGTAACTAGTTATGACATTTTTAAGAATTTTCATTGAAAGTCCAGCGTAAAAGTAAGCAATGATTCTACCAAAGCACTTAAATACATTAGTCCACTAGAAACTAAGGCTGCTGAGGTCTTCTTGCGGTTATAAATCGAGTCCCTAACGCATCATGAAAGCAAACAAAGCTTTATTCTACAAATATTTACCACTTAAGAGCGACTTATTTTCAAGACTGCGTGAGAGGTGGCAGATCGACCAAAAAATGACTATTCTCATATTTTTCCCAGAGATACCTTATAGTGAACTTGCTTCTTTATCCTAGAAAATTCACGAGAATTGAAACGAGCGTCGGTAGCCGTAAAATGGCAGAAATCAGTGCCCCGAGTAGAGGCAAACGAACTTTGCTCATGAGAAGCGCAAAAGATAGCAAGCTTGTATCAGTTCGCAAGCTAGATCGGAATTTTATTCGCTTTGGCATAAGGAATGATTCGGGAGATTTCAGAGATTCTTGCTGGACGCAAGTACGACAGAGAGGAAAGGTGAGTTTAGAAGAGGGTCCGATTTTTTGACGATAGAGGAAAACGGGGTTAAAGAGATGCGTAGGCGGAAGAATATCTATTTTCATCAACCCTTAGTATGCGTTGGGATCTTGATTTTCTGGTTCTAAGTAGATGGTAGGATGTCCGACGGGGTATTCTCCATATTTATTGACCCATGGGTACTCGGAAGTCACGTCTACATATCGGATCTGTTCTCGTTGGGTGGGGTCCACGCGGTGGTAGAGAGTCCTCACTCCTGTCCATCCGCCAGAGAAAGCATCACGCGGATTAATGGGTGTGGTCAGGGTTAGGGACTGGATGAATTCTCCAATGCCTTTGCGAGATTTCTTGAGTCTTTCCCATTGGCACTGCCTCATTTCTACCACCGTATATCCTATCTGACGTAACTTGGATATTTTCTGGGTGGTCTGTCGTCGGCATGCTTCTACGATTAGTCCCGAAGTAGAAAATGGGATCTGATTTCTTTGTGGGTAACAGTCTCGGCAACCATGAAAGAGATAGCTGTGAAATTCGTAAATAGTACGGGATTGGGCATCGTATCCATCCACGCGATGCACAATGGGACCCTGGGGGATACTGTATTCACCTCCATGTCGCGCATGTTGGAGTCTAGTACCCAGATCTCGCTCGGTGCAGAGTAACCATTCTAAGGCCACGTGGGAATGATTGGGTCTAGCGCCTTCCCAACCGCAATCGGGTTCTATGGCCATGGAATCTGGTATCATAACGCATTTTCGCCAATACCTATTACAGGCTTGTGCAATCGTCACGCACTTCTCCATGGGATCAAACTGGGCAATGGCTTTAAGCTCTTTTAAACAATGCATGAAATTTCAGCCTTTAAAAGATAACTTATACAATTATCCAGTTAGCTTACATGAACATCATACCCAGTTCATCTGATATGATTAAAAAAGG